TGGCAGCAAGTGAAAACTGCTGCTTTGGCTTGGAATTTTGTGGAGGTTCATGGGTGAAAAGGTACAGAAAATATTTATTTCTTGGCATGCTGAAAGAGGTAGGGAAATTTGTGATGGGAATTTTGGACCGTGACTTTCTTTCAAAGCTCCACCAACTGAAACATGGTCACTGAGTATAGGTAACTTTATGAAAGATGTTGAACTCTGGTATGTAATTGTGTGAAGCAAGGAAAGTAAGCCTTGGGTCATTTGATTTTAAAGAAGAGCCCACATTTACTCATTGAAAACAAGATTGTTGGAGCTTTTAATTTGAGTCATCACCTATCCAATTTTCTCTCCACAATTGAAAACACATGATCGATTTGGAAGGAGGAACTAGCCAAAAATCAAGTTTCTTATTTTTTACTCAGGAGACCCATTTCAGACTCACAAGGCAGGGATGATGTTATTTAGACAGTTGAATAATTCTGTTTACTCTGCTTTTGGAGATCATTTGTTGACTCATATGGATCTTCGATCTTATGAAGGCATCATGTTCATTTTAAAATGAGCCCTGGACTCCATATGAATACATACATTTCATGGCTCATCGGAAACGTTGAGTTGCTCTCTCTACTAAAAAATGGATTCATGAGTGGACAAATAGTGTCAAAAGAGAATTAAATAGGACTTTTAAAAATTTAAAGAAAAAAAAAAATTAGCCCAAAGAACATATCCATTTTCAGATCAGCCCTGGATTTCATAAGACAGCATACATCTAACGGCTCATCAGATTTTTGACATAAGTACATTACATATATTTATGCCTTAAAAGTTTATTTTCTTGACTTCTGGCTGTGTTAAAAGCAGAAATGAGACCAGCTTTATGATGAAATCCTTGGATTAACATGATTCAAATACCACATTAATTTTCAGAGCAATTTTGACTCAATTTTTTAGTAAATTCCTCTTCTTTGAGAAAGAAATTTGATTTTTAAGCTAAACTCCTCCTTCCTTTGACCCGGAACTGCCCACTGTGTGAAGAGGCAGTGTAATTAGTGAGTTGCATGGGGTTGCTGGCCCTTGCTTGAGGTGATTAGGGCTTGCGGGAGGCTCGTGGGAGGCTTGCGGGGGGCTACTAGAGGTGACTGGGCTTCGCGGGAGGTACCATACCCGCCAACCACATGCAGCTTTTCCTGGAACAGGGTGTGAACCTCATGCAGCTCCATGAGGCGGGTGGTTGCCGGAGGTTGCAGGAGGTTGCAGGAGGCTGCAGGAGGCTAGTCCCCGCCGCGGATGGCTAGCCACCTGCAGACCTCCCGCTGCATGAGGCTCACTTCCACTAGGGTACGATTTCTCCACATACGATGAAATGATTGTTTCGCGCCCGCATGGAAATAGAAAGGCAGGACCGGGGCCTGCCCCCCTCCCTACATTGGCAATGGTACCCCCCTCCCCCGCAAATCTGGAAAGAGGGAAAAAAACCTATTCGTCCATGAAAGAGCCTCGCCTAAAACCCAGGTGGCATTTTTCAGTAGAAGAAAAAGGGCGGTTTAAGCGCACCCATCAGTGTTGCCAATGTTCCCTTTGAAAGCCACGTCTACTTCCGTCCAACATTATGCTGGGATGAACCCCATGAGCCAACCCGTCTCCACCCCCCCTCCTCCCCCGCCCCTGGTTCCTGCAGGCACTGGACAAATAGGAGAGGGGTTTTATGTTGTTTTCTTCTAAACAATGTTTATGGATGCGTCGTTTCAGTATTAATGTGATTATACTAAGAGCAAAGCGACGATACCGGAGTATTTCAACCATGAGATTCGATGCGTCGTTTCAAATTTCACCTGTATTTTCTAGCCAAGCCTTGATTTCGCCGTCCGGAGGAGCTTTCATGCCGGGTTTTCAATGTGTTTAACCTAAACGACGGTTGCATATCGGCCGTTTTTCAGGATTCCGGCTATTCCTCGCAGAGCGGCGCTTTACGGGTCCTTCCCGTGTATTAATGTGTATCATGGAAGATGCATACTTACCTCCGTTGGGATTTCTCACTCTCTGGCTGATTCGAGCATTTTACCTCTTCATCCAAGTCCATATTTGAACCGTTCGTTCCTTTCTTCACGGCCGAAATCGGCCAAATAAAACTCACAACGCCTTCCGCGTCGCCGTCTCAAACTTGAGCCCGCTGAACTTCCACCTACAACGGGCCTCTCTCTGACGTCAGAATTTTTGGAAGATGAGTCATCCAGCGCCCGCGCGCGGGAGTGACCGTAGGCTGCTACCGGGGGGCCCCGAGGTGGTTGCGCGGCCCGCCCCGACACGTGGACCATGATTCATCGGCGCCCCCCCCCACCCGCAAGGTAAGCCTCTCCCCTCCCCCGC